CAGCTCTGGCAACACCATACCTATTGCCTGGAAGAATTGAGCAAACTAAATGTTAGCTTGTTAACATTACCGTCCGATGTTTCAGGAATTACAGGAAAGGAAGGGTGTTTTCTTAAATAAGGAGAAAAAGGTTATATTTTAAAAAATACTATTTCTGAAATTAATTGATAACCGACACTTTTACTCTAACATATAACATCAGTAACTTACACATAGTGGAAAGAAATTCAAAGATATGTGTGAAGTCAATCCGCAGTGTAACAAGATTGGCTAAGGCTCTAAGCCCGTTATTGGGGACATATAGTGAGCTTGTAATGAATTTTATCAAGCAAATAAAAGCAATACTAAACTAGAAGCCTACGCCTATTCTTAAGAGGAAAGGACGAGTAAGAAAAGTGGATATGACGGTGGAGGAGACGCATAGGAAGGGAAAATATCTTTTTTATGTGTGTCTATTCCGTTGATTAAGTGTAGACAAGGTATCTGCAATTACAGACGTCTGGGCAGCGGTCGCTTCGCCATTTTAGCGGGTTCAGGTGTCCGATTGCTTGTTTGTCACCTTATAATTTTAAAAAAATCTGTGAAGAAATTCAAAGATATGTGTGAAGTCAACCCGCAGTGCACAATAGTACTATGTAGGGACATATAGTGAGTTGGTGATGAATTTTGACAGTATACATGCTAAAAAAAAGCAATAATACATTGCTTTACATTCCTGGGTATATGGAAAATTAATATTAAATGAACAAATGAGACATCTGACCTCATTCTCTGCGCGTTCCTCGTCGCTCTGGTACTGCACGTCGAGCTCCGAGCTGTTCACACTATTCTCCCAGTCCTCAGACGACTCAATAGATGAGGCGTCCAGTTCCAAATCCGCTATTAGTCAAATATGTATGTCTAAATCTTATAGTCTAACTAATCTTAACCAACTAGTATTTTAAATGCGAAAGTTTAGATAGATGGATGTTAGAGTTTGTAGCCTAAACGGCTGAACGGATCTGGACAAAATTTGACATACATGTAGAGCAGAGTATGGAAGAACACATAGGCTACTTACTTGTGTTTTTTTTTAATAACACGCGGACGGAATCGCGGGCGAAAGCTTGTAATATTATAAATGCGGAAGTTTAGATGGATGTTTGTTAGAGTTTGTAGCCTAAACTGCTAAACTGATCACGATGAAATTTGGCATAGATGTAGAGTATGGTTTGTAAGAACACATAAGCTACTTAGTTTTTTTTATTTCCACGAGGACGGAGTCGCGGGAAAAAGATAGAAAATAAATAAATTAACTTTCTTAATTTCCCCTTTGGGAAGGGGACTGGTGTTCAAATGAGGTGTACCCTATGTGATAGATCACCACCCCCACATATGTACTGTTCATGATTTGAGTACATAATTTAACAAGCTTTTGCCAGTGACACTATCCTTGTGGAATTAAAAAAAAAAAAAACAAAAACAAGCCCATGTGTTCTTCCAGAGTTTCCTTTTTGTCTATGTCAAATTTCATTAAGGTCCCTTAAGCAGTTTAGGCTACAAACTCTAACAAATCCAAACTTTTACATTTACAATATTAGTATGATTGATAGTTACAAAGAAAATGTTTGACGGGTCTGCTAGCATCTTACTAACATAAATCCGAAAGATTAGATGGATGTTTGTTAGTAGATTTCTGAAATTTTGCACATATGTAGCAGTCTAGAACACATAGGTTACTATTTAAATCCTGCACAGAAGGAATCTTGGACCAAAAGTTAGTCCTGAATAAAACTTACCTATAACAAGTGGGTCATTATGTCTGGCCGCGGGCACGGCTGGCAATCGTAAAGCAGTCGCATTAACAGCTAACGCCTGAGTAGCATGAGCTCTGCTGCTTGATGGCTGAGGATTAGGCATTATTTCTTCAGTGAAACGCACCAAGGGATAATCCTGCAAAATTGAGAATAACCAGAATTAAATCTGAAATATGGATGTACAGCTTTCACCCGCGATTCTATCTGCCTGGAATTAAAAAAAAACAAAAGTGAGTAATCTATGTGTTCTTCCAGATCATTGTCTATGTATATGCCAAATTTCATAGAGATTTATTAAGCCATTTAGGCTACAAACTCTAACAAACATCCATCCAATTGTTAGCTTTTTAACTATTTTGATGTATTCTGTATTCTTGAAGGTTATTAGTCTATGCTATAAATCAATACCATTTGTCATAATTTGAAATAACGATATAAGCTTTGTAATTGTTATCCAAAACATTATATAAAATATTTATGTCATGGTTTTAAAATGTCGTAATTGTGCTTGTTATGTTAATAATCGGATAGTAGTCGTATGTCAAAAAAAAGTGTATTGCATTAGCTCGACGACACGACGGCCATATTGGTAAGGTTATTCTGTGCAAATTGGAAGAAAACATAAGAGGTAATGAAGACTATATTTTACTAAAGCATAACATGGCTGTGACGCCCATACAATCATCTAAACTTTTCCATTTATAACATTAGTATGAAGTATAATTTTTATGATTTAAAAACATTTTTTAATAAATAACTTACTTGATGAGGCAGGTCACATATTGGATTAGATCTGATATCAATCATTTCTAACATTGTGAGTGGTGCAGTGTCAAAATTCTCCGGCATTGATGAAATCTGAAACAATAGTTTTATCTGAGTTTGGCGGTCGAACATTTTACTTTAAACTAGCTCTCGCACGCGACTCCGTCCATGAGAAATTAAGAAATAAAATTAAGTAGCCTAGGTGTTCTCCTGACTATACCCTACATCTATACCTAATTTTATCAAGATCCATTCAGTAGTTTAGGTTACAAACTCTAAAAAAACATCCATCCATACATCTAAACCTTCGCTTTTAGATTTAAAAGATTTAAACATGTTTTAGATAAAATATCAAAATCTTACTAACATAAATGCAAAAGTTTAGACAAAGGAATGGATGGATGTTTGTTAAGGTTTATATAGCCTATACAGCTGAACAGCTCTTAATAAAATTTGGCGCAGATACAGAACATAGTCTGGAAGAATACATAGACTATTTCAATTTTTTTTTATTACGCACAGATAGGGTAGAAGAGTAGAGCCAGTATTTGATGAAATTTAAAACTCAAACATAATTTAAATTTACCTCATTATTGTTGAGCTGTAGAAACATTAGATCTGTGCATTTCATTATGGACATGGGGAATTCTTTGATCTGGTTGTTTCTCAGATTGCAATGTACGAGAGACTCCATCTTATCCATGGTGCTTGGTAAAGTTTCTATTTGATTATACTCTAATGTCAACCATCTGGAAACATATATCTTCATATAAACACATAAATAAATTAGAAATATATTTACAATTATCTAACAGTATACTATATAATGGAAATTAAGAAATAAATGAATCACAAATAGCCTTGAAAACTGTACCTTAATTTCTGCAGAGCTGTCATTTCTTCAGGTATTTCTTTTAACTCATTTCCACGAGCTCCAAATGTATCCAGTTTCGAGAGCTTACCTATTTCCTTTGGAATCTCTCTCAATCCTATTCTGTTACACCAGAACGCTTCAAGATTCTCCAACTCTCCGATTTCAGGTATCAATACGTTCAATGGGTTGTAACTTATGTTCAAATTCACGAGATTTTTCAAGTTACTTATCTCCGATGGTAGCGAAGTTAAGTTATTGTAATCTAAAGTTAAAGTAGTTAAATTCGATAGTTGAGTTAACTGCACTGATAATGAAGATATTTTATTTTTATGCAGATAGAGATGTTCGACGTCTAAACAGCTGTATAAGAGATTCGGTATTTCGGCTATTTCGAAAGCGTTCAGACTCAAACGGGATTTCTTTTTCGCGACCGCCTGTTCTATTACTGCCAATATGTGATTTTCACGGATGAATTTCAAAATAGCACTCATCCTGAAGTTATTTTTGGTCCTATTGCATTATGTATTGCGTTTGAATTTGTTGGTGGGTGACAGGTGACAAGGACGACAAACAACATTTGATCAGGTGACAAATGACAGCAAAAAATCTGCATGTTGCCATATGCGAAAAGGTTATTTCTACCAAATTATTAAAGTTATTAAAAATAGTTTTCAAAAACATTACAATGCATTGTATTTTTTATTTTAATACAATTGTAATGTGGTGTAAGAATAATCTAAAATGATCAATTTACTATATAGTGTAAAATTAATTTTACTTGAATATTTTAAAACATGAAAGTGTGTTACAATATGCTGCTCTAAAGGAACGTAGAACACGGTATCGATTAGCGAAAGCTGAGCTAATCGATATCATTAAAAATAAACAAGTACCAAAGTGCGACGGTGCTTTTGTGAGAAATAATGTGAACCGAACTCAGCTGCTTTTTGTATTGTTGCAGTGATATATGATATTATTTTCGATATACAAAAATGGCTACCATATTTTCTGTTCTTAAGATAACGCTATTAATAATTTTCATAGTTCTTTATTTAAAAACATATGCTGAAGGTAATTTGTGAAGAAAAATACTTTTTTTTTTAAAGTGCGTAATTGATACTAAACATCGTTTCTTAATTTTACAGCTAATCAGCAAAACAAAACAGTTGGAAAAAACCATCATGTTAGGAGATCGAGTGTGGACGACAGCTTTTTCAAAAATGAGAAAAAGGAATCCTATAAGTCTTACCAGCCAGCTGCTATAAAGTACCACAAAACCTATCCAAGGGCTGATGAACGTACGGATTACGACACAAATTCTTACGATAATGATTACGATGCAGTTGTATCTAATTTCACGTCTTCCATTTACGATGATAATCCACCTCTGTATCCTAATCCTGAAGACTTTACTAAAAACCTAGGTAACATTTCTATAGTTCAAGTTTGTTTTTATTTAATGTATTATTGACTAAACTGTTATTATTTTTCACTTAGCTTTTAAAGGCGAGAACAAAGAACAAAACGAAGTGGAATTGCCCGATGATTCCCTAGCTGATGCTGATCTCAAAGAACACAATATAATCGACAGCGTGACTTACCTGTACGGATTTAATAATTGCCATGGATCAAAAAGCGGATGGATTATTTTGGTAACGTATTAGTTCTGATATTCCGATATGCGCATCTGTTTAATTGTATTTATTTCATGATTTCATATCAATGCTCATATATGAAATGACTAACTTGGTTTATTTTTTTAACAGATTGTCATAAACACAGCAATATCTTGTACTCTACTGGTCGTAGCTATTTTGTGGCTGTTGATTAGCGGATATGCGGCGAAATTTCGACAAGAGAGTAAACTCTATCCCATTACAATCAATCTTTGTAGTTGTTTCATTGCTTGCGCTCTTATTTATGTCAAAGCTATTGGGGTAAGCGAAAATAATTTACTTAGTACGCTTGTTTGCAATTAAATCAAAAAAACACTAATATGACGTTTTTTTATAGGGTTCTTCTTCTCCTTATGTTTGCGAGAAGATAGCTTTGCTACTGCATTATACTTATCTAACTTGTTCCACCTGGATAGTGACGATGGCGGCTGCTTTAACGGAATATTGTGCTTACGATACAATAATACCACTAAAATATAACTATCTGTTTGCGTATGGAATACCTGCATTCATTGTTATGGTAGGTATCGTGAAATTACCGAAATCGCAAACGCCTTTACTGTCCCTTAAATAGTCATTAACAGTTGTGACTGTTTCATTATTTCACGTTTTAAAATTCTTAAAACGGTTTTTTATCCAATTTTCAAAAGCTCGTGTAGACTGTGCTTCATTTACTTTAATAAAATTATACCACCATGTCCTCGATTTAAAGTTAATTCAATGTCAAACAATCGATAATCGATTCCTTATTCTTTACAGTTTAACTACGCAATCTCAATGGAACAATACGAAATCAAGCACTATTGTTGGATGTCGTTGGAAAAGGGTATGGTAATGGGGTTCATGGTACCTGCCATGCTACTGATCATTCTTAATACCGGAATAATCTTACTCGGCCTAAGATTGGTTCATAGGAAACAATCCGAAGCTATCCAAGCTAGATTACAAGAACTTTTGGGTCGTCAGGAAACAAACTATCGTAGGACCGATCACATCAGCGATAACATTAGAATGAATGAAAACAATGAGATGATAGACAATCTTTATGCTGCTGGAACCAGCAGGAAAAATACTGATAGTTCTGAAACTTTGGACAAGGATTACAATGCGAGCGACGACAATTGCTATATTAACATTGATTTACCCAATGAAGCGAATGTTGAGGAAGGAACGGAAGTGAGTATTGCCATTATAAAAAATGTAACAATTTGGTAGATTATTTTACTAAATCTTGTTTAAAAATATCCATAATTCATTATACGCATCTAAAATTCCAGCCGAACGTCCAAGATAAAGATGGTCAATACCACAACGTGAATGATACATATATAGACCCTAATTGGATGAGATTCAACTGGAGCGCCGAAGGCAATGATCTCAAAACTTACCTGAACCTTTGCCTCGTACTGGAACCATTCTTTGCCATTAACTGGGTGATGGGAGTGGCCGCTATCGAAAACGCCGCGCACTGGACTACGCCGACAATCTATTTGGTTCTCTCACTGACTATGGTAAGTAAATTACTACCGAAACTTTATCTTTACGCTATACAAATAAGCAGATATTATTCTTACTATATTAATGTGGGCGTGGCTACTTGACAGTTATTGATAAAACTACCCAAATTTCTCGTAAAAACTCATAGTAGTCAATCGAGTCACTAAAAATGAAGTTTTACGTTAGTTGACTTGATGTGCAAATTCTTTTATGTGTTTATTTAATGTAACATTAAATTATATTTAATTTGTTTAACAGTACGTGTACTTCGCTGTGACAATCTGCTCGAACTTGCCAATTTTGGCTGAAAAGACTCCCGCTCCCGTCGTCACCTCTACCGCTGTCAGCGACGTTGTCGGATCACAGGAGCCCACTGTTATTCCTACTAGGTAAGAATTATTTTGAATTTAAAAAAAGTTTACTATCTGGTTATCTCACAAATTAGTTTCTTATGTTATTAATTAATGTTTTCTGTAACAATCAAATTCCACGATCAAAACAATGGTAAAAGCGAAAATCTTTTTTAAAATACTTAATTATGCAAGAGACACATTGCTGAACCTCCGAAAGTACTGTTGTTGCAACTTGTTTGAATTCCTATATGAAAAAAGCTTGTAACTTAATTAAACTTTTAAGGGATTTTATTATTTCTTAATTATTTCAGGACCACAGACAGCATTCCGTTACTGGACCCGGCGGTGCAACAGCCCAACGGAACTCCCGCCCCCGCGGATACTATTAGCACAATTAGTATTTAAAAAATCGATATCGATTTCGATTAACTCTTACAGAAACCAATTTGAGGTTTGTCAGCGATGACAGTTGACTTCAAAAATGGAGGGAAACTATATTTAAATGTCAAATATGTTGACATTTTATTCACGAATAAAGTTAAACTTTATTGTTCTGAATTTTACTATTTAACATTCTGATATACTATATAGTTACTATATAGTAAAATAAAATAATTTATGTATTATAAAATATTTAACAGTGGGGGATTGCATTTTCATGTGACATATGTATTTCCAATTTTAAAATAATACTGTCCAATTGTAAAATTCAGTTAAATGTTAAGGAAAGCAAAAATAGTTTTCTTATTAAATATTTGTATAGTTTACAGATCAAAACAGGATTTTAGATTTTATTTTCTCAGATATTTTCTACAGAGTTTATTTTATTTCTTTATTTATTGTAAATATCGCGCAAAGGTTAGGCCTAAAACGTTTATTTTTGTAAGGACTTAATTTTCATTGATCTCATTATAAATGTGAAAGGAATTTTAGTCTTGACATGTGATAAGAAATAATTTTCTAGATATAACAATCATAAAACGTAGAATCTAGATATGTTGTTAAATGTTTAATACATATCTTTGACTATATTCTTTTCTAGAATAAAAAGTAGATTTTCTAAGACTGCTTTCTGTCCTATCGCCTAAATAAAAAGTAGTGTACAATTATAAATAAGGAAAATGGCAGTAAAAGTTTTACATTATTTCCTATACTTATGCTGTTTAATGTACTTAGCAGGTTAATAATTGAGGATTATCTGTTATTTTTTAATAGTAATATACAGGTACCAGAAATTGACATCATGGTTTTTGAGCCAAATTCTTTTAGTGCATTATTTATTTACAGTTTACATTATACATACATAAGTTATCCTGGAGAAATTGTAAAAATGTATTTATCCTCGATTATAACGGAAAATGTTTTAATATTGGCTAATATAAGTAACAAGGTGTTTTATGAACTTAGCAATTTATTAAGTTTAGGTTAACTATTGTTTTTTAATAATTTACAGTTGCCAGACATTGGCATCGTGGTTTTTGAGCTAAATTATGCATTTATATGTTTTTACGTTTTTTTTAAATACATTTTTAGTATGATTATACATATATAAGGTCTTCTGGGCAAAATTGTAAATGTTTTACTCCTTAATGACACTGAGGGGAAATAATTTTAATATTGGCTAATATAAGTAAACTAGAACTTGGTAATTATACAAGGGAATAACTATTATTTTATATAAATGAGATGGATAAAATTGTGTCAAGATATGTATGGACAAGACGGACTCTTCTGGATGGAATTTCTTATCCTATGATCAATTTTCTACAATAATTTATTGTATTTATAAATTTACTGGATATTGTAAAATAACTATGTTAGTTTTGTGTGACAAATCTAATGTCAATAAAGTTTAATAAATGTTAACGTTTTTTAATTTTTTTTAAGATCTACAATAATATTTTCCTGTTTTAATTCATTTCGGACAGAATTTTTATCAAGCAGAAGGTAGGTAAGTTCTGAAAGAGGTATGTATATATTTAAATGAGGATATTGTTTGTTGTAATACCATAAATAAAACGACTTATTTTCACTTATATCGAGTGTATTTCTGGATAAATTGGTTACAAAATACTTGTCCGCCCGCGCAGAGACGGGGCGGGGCTTAAGCTTACGACGTTAGCGAATCTCAAACGAAACGATTAGGCGATCTTATAAAAAATCGTACCCAAGTATTTATTTTACATTCTAATCAGTATAAAAGCCCTACCGGTTGTTGATCGTAGAAAAAACAAAATTCGACTTCCATCAGCATTTTATTTAGTTTGAGCTTAACTTATTCTTTACTTTATAGGAAAAATATATATAATAATTAGTATAATTTAAATTATTACATAAAGATTCCTTAATCGCTATATAATTTTAAGAGCAGCGCCGCCGCTGCATCGACATCGGAAAGCTAATTGAAATAATAGAAAGAAACCCAAGAGAGCGCGTGGCGGGAGCGGGCCGTGACACGTGCGTCGCGGGCCGCCGCCGGTGCGAGAGTGACTCATGTTGCGGTTGGCGGCCGCTAGAGGAGCTCGCGTCGCACGCGGCCGGCGCGGGCCGCGGCACTCTGTAATGGCGGTAGTTAAATGCTTGCTTTATTGGCGGTCGGTGGCGCGCAGTTTCTCTTCCACAGCCTCCTGAGAAGCCTCGGAGAGATCAGTCGCCTGGATGCACTTCTGTACGCCGACAAGAGATTTCTTCAGCGCGTCGAAGGAGCTGTGTAAGAGAACATACTTAATATTATAAGTGATAATTTAGAGGGATATTTGCCACGTTTTATTAGAACAGAACAGAAGATGACACATAAGTAGAACAGTGTGAAAAACGTACACTACACTAGTAAAGTATTCAGTTTTAATTTAGCAACTACAACTGTACCGAGTAATAAACCAATTTTATATGTGAGGTGCCCTCGTAAAATGTCCGTACAGACGTCAAACGTTAATTTATCGCGCGCCAGGCTATTTTTGAGTGTAAAGCGACAATGACGTCATTTATGTCAATATCAAAAAATCAACCAAAATACTGGTCCAATGAGACGTTAGTTTCTGGTATTTGTAAGAAATTATGTAAAAGCTAGTTAAAAATTGACCAGAGAGTAAAGATATTTTGACACTTTATTGACATTGACAAGCGGTCACTGGTGATCTTTCATAATTTAGTTTGACTTGCGCACGTCGCGTCAAGCAACCTTATTTGCTAGGATTTTCTGTACACGCCTTTAAGATTACATAAATATCATAACAGACTGCCTCCTAAGTCCTTGGGTCAAGTTTCTTTTACTTACACAACGATGTCACTTATTATAAAATTAGTATCATTTTAAGAGTATTGGGAGACCAGAGGTTAATATTCTATTACTGACCTGGAGTACAACATCTTCTTCTTGACCTTGGCGGTGTCAGGGCACCACGACATGAGGAAGAGCTTCTGTTTCTTACTGGCCTCTGATGTGCCCTGACATTGGTGCGTGTACTCGAAGTCGAATAGTCCATATCTGGAATGTAACAAGGTTAGAGTTATTGATAGGGTTTAAGGTAGAAAATACTGTTCATATTATTAATATTTCTTTAGGCATTCAGGATAGGCTTATAGGAATGACTGTGGCAGCTAAAATTCTTTATTGAAGTTCTGAATTTCGAGTTTGCAGCAACACAAATCACATCTATAACCCATAGAGGTAGACAGAGAACACATATTAATGACTTCTTCCACTCCTGAAGTTTTAATTACTGGTACTAATTATTGAATAAATCTATACTGATATTATAAAAAGGAAATATATGGATTTTTTGATGTATTGTAAAAACTCAAAAACTACTGGGTCAATTTAAAAAATTCATCACCATTAAGAAGCTACATCAGTAACATAAGCTATAATTTTTAATTTCCCACAGAGGAAGTCGAGAGCAGAAGATAGTAGTTTAAATTTAGAGTTTTTTTTTGTACTTTTTGTGTTTAAGTATTTACCAACCTGCACTCCCCGGTGCCGCCCTTCTGCAGATCCTCGAGGAACTGGTCGTACTCAGCGTTGCGCTCGCCTATCGTCTCCACGTCGATCTGTTTCTCGTCACGGATGTAGAACACCACGTAGCGGTGCTTCTTGTCCTTCTTTATCTCCTCGTACGTCGTCTTACACGCGTCCGATACTGTCACGCCAGACGCCTAACAAACAAAATATATCTAGATTTAGGAACAAAGGTATAGCTTGGTAAGAAACATAAAAACCTTCGTAAATATGGAGCGTTTTTCTACATTTATTTGCGTACATTAGAAATTTTATTAGAAGTCGTTTGATATACCTCTAGGCTAGGGTTTTTTTTATACGTATCAAATATACATAAACTAGAAGGGACAGCACAATAATGAAATACTTCGTTGTGGCTACAGGATCAGAGCCATTTGGCGCGTTCAATAAGCGTATACCTTTCAGTGTCACCTTAGATCAATTTTACTTTTAATGTGGGTAGATGTAAAAAAAATCTCCCACACACATCTAATAAGCGTATAATTTCAAATTTAGAACACATTTTCGTGTATACGGCCAGTTCTAAATACGAATCGGTCATGTAATACGCAGCTGCCGTCACGCTTTACTCTATTTCCGAACGTTCGCTTTTGTTGAACTATACAACAAAATGCCATCACTTTCTAGTATTGTTCTTTCAAATGTATTCCATGACTTTTAGAAAGTCAAATGACATTTTTTGTGAGCATAAACTAGTATCCTTTTTTGTCCCTAAATGTTATCTAGGTCATAAATTGCTGGGTCATAGACACGTCTGTAATAAAACATGAAAAACAATTCCGATATACTTGTAGATATCAAAAAGTTGAATAAACTTTTAAATAATTCAAATAAACACATCTTAAGAATGTAAACATTTTATTTATCTGTTATTATTTACACACTAGCCTTGAAGCTTTGGGTATTATCGTCTTTGTATGCAAAACTGTTTATTGTAATACATATTTAGATCTAGATAATTTAATAACGTAATGTAAACGTGGGTTTCCACTAGCCTAATATTTCAAATACGTTTCAATGGATATAAGCGAGTTTTAACTATGAAATTCTACCATCCACACAGAGAAAATCGCAAGCTAAATACGAAAGTTTACTTTAGATGTTAACTACAATATCTTCAGAACGGCTAAACGGAAGTCGCTGAAATTTGTCAGAGTATTTTTTATTTCCGCCATATTTTTTATAGCCATTTCCATATATGGTATTTGCGATATCATTAGTAATCCCTATCTAATGAAATCAAATAAATTACGACGTGCTATCAAGACGTTAAACAATCGTCGGTTTAAGATAAACCGGCTATTGAAACACCAAACAAACTATACAATCGTCTATTGTTAGTGTCTCCCGCGGCGGCCCACTGAAATAGACCACTTGGTAACATTGGCAGCTAAATATAGTTTGAAACACGTGTGAATGCAGAGCCCTTTTCTACTGCTACTTTCTAAAATACTGTAATGTTTTACTTCTACATATGAATAACCTTTATAAATCATAATTTGTCGGCATTAGAGCGGGCGCACACCTTTGACTAAACTATCTCACAAAAGTTGTGCGATTGTCGATTGTTTCGCTGCCAATTCAACCGCAATTAAAAATCGAGTAGTGTGCGCACCTCGATATAAGCTCGTAGGAATCAAAACGAGACAAAATTGTGCGATAGTTTAGTTTCAGGTGTGCGCACGCTCTGTGTGGTCGTCACAACAATCTTCGTCATTTCAGTGTTTTCCTTCATTTTAAAGTCTGCGTCCACCGATATACCCTTTGACATTAATATTTAAATCATTGTAGTAATATCGATTTTAATGGGCAAAATAAGGATAATAATCTACGATAATTTTATTCGCAACAACTATACTTATTGTTTGAGAGCTTAAATTAAATAAACAGAAGCACATCAAAATTTAGACATGGAAGAAAGTATTATAGTTATTTTGCGAAATTTATAAGATAAAATGAAGTGATGTAAAACAAGGGTAGCTAATGTTATAGGAATATGAGAAGAATTATTTTATCAGAAGTATTTTTGTTATTCCGAGTTTCAGCATAAAATGTACTCTAACAGTTTTTGGTCATTGGAATCCTGTATCCGGTAAATTACTTCGTACCGAAGACGTATTACGAAAATATGTTTTACAATGATTTTTAAAGTAACATTTGTAGCATAGTTACTGAACACAGTCGCCCAGCGGTACACCCACACATATTACGTAGAACACTTTTAAAAATTTATATTCTCTACGTCTTACGTTTACGCGTTTAAAAAAAATCGATTGGAAATTTACTATGACGTAAATAGGAATGATCAAATTATTTCAAACTTCTTGACGTAATCTATTCAACATTTACAACATTTTTCCCTTGATTTTGTTCATTTAAATGTGCCAAACACAAACCGATACAGTGTTTACATTACTATTGAATTTTAGTATATATCTTTCTCTTTTTATTAGCCAACATCATATCCTTCTTCTCTTTCATGTAATAAAATATTCAAATGAGAGTATAACATAAGGTGGCAAACGAGCAAGCGGCCACCTGAATCCGCCAAAATGGCGAAGCGACCGCTGCCCATAGACATCTGCAATCGCAGATGCGTTGCCT